TATATTATGAGATTTTATGTTTAACATTCTTACGCGGATGTCCGTCTATTTGTCGCTAATTTAATTAATGCCGATGTAGTCACTTGGAAGTGTGATTTTGCACCACTAAAATCGAGCTATAATTTTGTCTGTAAAAAGAAAGTAGGAAGTATGGATTTTAAAAATGTAATTGGTCTTGATCAGATGTGTGATCATTATTTCCAATTTGAGATTGATTTCTTTATTAAAAGATTAGAGGAATTGGCAGAATTATGGCATAATTCACGCTCACGACTATATCGGGATATAGAGTCGCTCTTTATTGTTTTTGAATTATATTATCCGTTTGCATATTTCCCCGATCATTTTTCTCGATCATCCAAGAACTACGGGACCGAGCAAGCTCCTTCACAAGATCGCATCGATTATACATACACTGCAACGAATACACACAGAGCTTTAGAGCATAAGATTATGTAAATTTTGTAAATCTTGCGCTTATATTTAACAGCAACATTGCTTATAATATACTCTATAATATAGCTATATTGCTGATATTTATAAACACAGAGCTTTAGAGCATAAGATTATGTAAATTTTGTAAATCTTGCGCTTATATTTAACAGCAACATTGCTTATAATATAGCTATATTGCTGATATTTATAGAACGTAGATTTAGATGGCTAAAAAATGGGCAAAATCTGTATTGTTTTGTGCATTGTTTTAAAATCGCAAAGACATGTTTATAAAGAAAATTATGTGCCGTGTATAATAATATTCTTTTGCTGCTAATATCGCCGATCTTTTTTTTTTTTTTTTTTAATTTTGAAAATGAAAGTTTCGGATATGTCGCGAAATTATATTTAAACGATACGCTTATCTCTGTCATCTCTGCCTGGAAAATTTTTTTATTTCGTAAGCGATAAAACGCGCGTCTTAGTGATACACGATATAACGATTTGCGAGCGCGATTATGATAACCTTTCGTATTTTGCGAGTTAAGCATAAATATTACTAACCGCATGCTGAACATAGTTGAACGTTTTCGAATAAATATGAATTCTTATTTTCAGGATATTTACCGATCAGTACAGGTAAGTTTGCATCATCACGTAATTTAAGTGTATTCGTTCGCGATGTCGTTACAAACCGGTATGATTGGAAGAATGCGTGTATTATCGATCAACGTTAAATTTACCATATCAGAATATAATTGCTTCGAATCATCTATTTTACAAGAAAAAATTTTAATGAATTATATTCATGCCCGTCTCAGCGGAAAGATACGATTTGAGAGAATGAAAATCGCGGAAGCTTCTCGCACGATATCGTAATAATAATAATCCGCGAATAATAAATTGCGAATACGTCAATCTAATGGAAAAACATTTTTTATACTGTTACTCATTAATAGGAAATTATTTTGTGACGTAGTAAGGTATGAATTAATAATGTTTTATGTATATTTCTTCGCGATTATTATGCTATATGTATATCAATTATTATTCTCCGTATTATGAGGACAGTTTCGCTTGTGGATTTCGTTTTACGATGGACTGAGTGCAACGTGAGTGCACACGAGTGGGACTGCAGACTATGCAAATATTTTTATCTAAAGTGGCGTTAACGTACGGATTGATAGCGTAGGATGCAATTCACTTGCATCTGCCGTGATGCATAAACGCCTACCGTCTTCCAGAAACGCTTGTATACATTTTATATTAAAGTTTTATACTTTATATGATAATATAAAATATCTTTTCGCGTAAACATATAAATATATAATTAAATTATCAAATTTTTCTATATCATAATATATACATATATACTTTAAATTTTAAATCATATAATTTAATTAATTGATGTAAATAATGTTGAATCACATTCTCGATCTATCATTTTCCACGGATCGATTGTTACATAAGCAAAATCGATAACCCGATAATAACTTTTGCACGCGATTAAAAATAGTAAAAGGTTAAATTAAGAATTTAATTATTTAAGTTTTTATTTGTCGCGAATGGAAGATTGCTAAACGCGGTCCGCGGAAATTGTGTCTGACAAGCTTGAAATTAGATTCTCCGATGAGCGCGGCGATTATTTCTGGCGTCACGACTCCGATCACCGTTAACGACACTTCGTGGGCATGCCTGTACACGCGAACGTATGTAACAACTTTAACTATCAACTCCGTTTACGATCGTGTAGGTAACACCTGGCGCTATTCTCGCTGCACGAAAATGGGATGGAACATTGCGTTTGCAAGGGTAAACTCGCATAGCGTAAACTTTGTCACCGCCTCTCGTACGTAACAACTTTAACATAAGTACTTCCTGCGGAAATTTCATCTTTTGAGGCGCGTAACACATTTAAGATAGCGTGATGAAGCAAAATTCATTTAGTTATCAGACATAAATCTAAAGTTCGAAAGATTGCCAGAGCAACGCGGGAACGATCTGTCAAAGTCACGTGTTTCAAATCCTACATATTTGGACGGTGTCCAATTCAAACTTCTTACAATTGAATGAAAATAGCTGAATGGCTCATCTATAAGCGATGGAATTAACTCTCGAGCTACGTGACCGATATCTCATCCGATAATCATCTAGTAAAAATCTACAATAGATCATTTCGAAATAAATTTTGCTTTATTGTTTGTGGGATAAAATAATACGCAAACCGCTTGCGACGAGATTTCTTTGTTTACAGAAAGAACGTATAATTGGCCACATTGTGTTGCATGCGCGCTCGCTCAGTGCGACCCGACGATATAAACTAGGCAGCCTGAATGCGCTTAATTATGGCACATTCGTTAGCCTTCTACGCTGTTTTACGCGGCGCGAATTCAATAGAATTGTTTACTTGTCCCAGGAATAAATCTAGACTGTACGCGATCTTGTTATTCGTCGCTTTTTTTACTCGAATTCTATCCAATTTTCCTCAAGATGTATTATTATCGCGTATTAAAATGTCGCAGACATCTTTAGATAAACATAAAAATTTTTGATCAGAAATATTTACTTTTTTATCAACGCGTTTCAGAATATTTTTATATTAACATGATTTTACCAACGCTATTTATTCACTGTGAAATTGCGGAAATTGAGAGTGATCTACGAGCAGACAGCTGTTTTCGAGGATCTCTAGTTACATAATTCGATAACTTCACGTGAAGAAAAATACATCTGCACATGTAAAGAAGAGCATGTATGTGATATATTTGCCGAATGCAAATTTCATCTAAAAAATCAATATCGATCAGCGCATAATATTAAAAGACTAGATAGTAGAATCATATCTTTTAGTCTATGCATAGATGGGTTTATTTTCTCAATTTTTTACGTAATACTTGCTGTGACGAGAAAGAGAAAAATGGTATGTGTATTTTTTAAAAGGTACAAAGAGCGTCTTAGCATATGCAAATTGTTTCCGCCTTCGTTTATATTTTAAGACACGAGATGTACAAAATGTAGCAAATGTGTTATAGCTCTTAATGTATCCCATATTCGTAAAAGCATGCAAATCCATTTATCCGCTGTAACTAAGAAAGCTTTCTGTGTATATAAAAATGCAACTCTAAAAAAAACGATTCAAGTATAAAAAAAACGTGATATAGAAGTATATATAGTATCTCTTGAATGATAGTTCACAGTTGTTGATAACTCTAATCATATTTATACGATGTTGACCGATAAGTTTGTCTTTTTATATCGGAGCTATAATAGAAAGATCAAATGCACTTAGGTGAAACCTGGCGATTTTGAGATCATTAATAACGTCTCTTAACGTCGGAGAAATGAAAACAACACAACCGTAAATTTTTTTGCGACAGAGGAAAAACACACGGCTTTACGGTGACTTGCACGATGTTCGACATACGTATTACGCATCCTCTCGCAAACGACGCACACATTGCGTAAAACAGCAAAAAAAAAAAATGTTTTTTTCCTAATAAAGTAAAGCGTTTTGTTATTTAAATTTTTGTCATTAGATTCGGAATTTCGAGCATTCGAGAAATGATGTAGCGTAAAATATTATCGCAAAGTGAAGTCAAAGCAAAGACGCTTACAACTGTCAAAAACCAATACCTTTAGCGTATTTTTTTTCTCTTATAATAGCATGCATCCGTTCATTAAAAAAAAAAAATAATATGTACATACAATATTATTTAATATTTATAAGATTAATTATTTTAAATCTCTTTTACATCCGGAATCAATCATCTTTATCTCATTACCTTGAAATTCAATTGTAACATTAAACTTGATAAAGCATTGCTCGAGCAAAATATTTGCCGTATGTTTTTCATATAAATGCCTTTAATATAATTTTCGCATATCGTGAATTAAAATTCATTGAACATCCGTCGAATGTTTCGCTCAGCATGCAATTGAACAGTCATAATTAAAATAGTTTATCGGTTATGCATTGTGATAATGACGACTGCAAAATTCACCGTAAACAGATGGAAGGATACATTGGAATAACAACGCATATATTTAAGTATCATTAATCAAAAGAGATTATAACCACGCATGTTTCCATTGCTTTGAGATATTTTATAATTCTGAAATCCTCTATCCCATTTGGTATTAATAATTGTGAAAATTTTATGTCGAATAATATCTAAATGATATTTAACTGACGATGAGAAAATGAATGCTCGAAGAATCTGTAGCTGTCTCGGATATCCTGCATAAAACATGTGTCGCAGTTTCTCGGGAACATCTTCTCTTTTTTTTTTTTTTTTTTTTTTTTTTTTTTTTTTTTTTAACTTGGGCCCTCGATATAACTGCAACTCTGTAACCATAACGGATCCACGTACGTCGCGTGGCGCGCGCGCGAGAGCGCATCCAAGCCTATCTTTATTCATTCGTTCTATCACTTGAAAGAGCGACGGCTCCATTCTCGTAGCCGGTTTCTCGCAAAGCGGAAGGGGAGCGGGGCGACGGGGATGCCCCAGGTTGCGCAATGCTCGACACGCGCATGCTTCCCGCTCAAATCGCCGCCGCCGGGAAATTCCCCCCACCTCACCGTCACCCCCGACCCAGGGGGGAAATCTCTGCGAAACCAGAACACCCCGGCCAGTTCGACATCGCGGCAAACACGAGGTGTTCGACGACAATACAGGATCGACTCTCGTATATAGCTTCTCTCTCTCTCTCGCACGCACGACGCGTTTCTGTCGCGAAAATTTCGCGGCTTTTCTCTTTTTCTTTACCATCTCCGTATCCGAACTTGCCGGAAGTAACGAAAATCGCGCGTCGTTTCGCGAAAAAAAACGTCCTCTCCGGCCGCGCGTAAGGAGGTAAAGATCAAAGCTTCTGAGACAGACGGAGAAAGGGAAAGTTTCCGGATGTGTTTTGTGCGAGACTCGAACAGCTGATAAACGGACTTTCCTCGCGAGGTTGCTTATAGCGTGGTGGGAGATTTGGATAATTTTAGAATCTGCGGTCAAGATTTTAAAAGCGTTGACCGTGTGCGGTCGAAATTCTTGCATCTCTCAGAAAAATGAACGTGATTGTACTAAATTTGAATAGAATTAAAGAAATAAAAACTTGATTATAACACATATAAATCTAAATAAAATTTAATAGTTTTCAACAAATTTTGATGAATAATTTTGCCTTTTCTCTCAATGTAATTATTTCTTTATTTTTTACAAAATTAAAAAACCTAATTATGGTAATATAATCAGAAATAAAATATTTAATGTATTATGCATTATGTGCGAACAATATATTATCATAATTATATGTAAAAATACGCAAATGCGATTTATATAATTCGCGAGGAAGGTACGTCAGCAAGCGTAGATAAAATTTAATCAGTGAAAAGTGGAAATATCTATCATATGATACGCACCGGCGGGTTTTAGCGTTGCCTCACTACATAGGATGACACATGTTCGTATTTAACCACGCTGTTGCGCGACATAACCGCGTGCGCGTTGATATCGGCTTTTCATTACACGAGTAATTGGGCCGCGCTCAGTGAAAAAAGTATATCACTGGCTGGCCATTCCCGAACCCGGGAGGAGATGACTCGCGCACGATCGATTCGTCGCGGTATCGAAAGTTTTAATTTGCCCTTTGAAGTTGGACAGTCCGCTTAACGAGATAGTCAGTTGCACACACGCGGAACTGTACGGCAAGTTGCCGGATTAATCGAAAGTTTCTCGCTGAAAACGGTAACGTTGTTTGTGGGTGACGCACGACGATGAGAAATTCTGTCCGCCATCCAAAACAAAGGTTTTTCACCGACCGACATCGCGTATCACGAAAATATGTGATTCTCTACAAAAACGCTACATTTACTTGACAGTTCTTTCATTCTCGATTTGACATTTGTTCGGATGGTAGTTTATCATTCTTTAATTATCGCGAATAATCGCGATCAAGATTCTGTTGTTTCAATGACGTTTGTACTTTATCAATTATCGATATAATTATCGCTGCGAGATAACAAGAGATCTTTAAACGAGAAAATATTACGCAATACAAAGAACTATGACGAACTACGGTGAATCCACTTTCGGAAATCTTGATTGATCCACCGTCTGATTGTCCGTGACGCATATTATCAATAATCGATAACGCTCCGATAAATTGTAAGACATGCATATTCTGTTAAAACGGGGAGGGGCATTATATCGAGTGTTATAACGAAGCGTATCTCGAGATTAGATGACAATTTTCTGATAATATTTGTTACTACGTAGATAAAGCAAATTGATGCATGAATAATCTGATAAAGGGATAAAAACTAATTGGATCTAAACGGCTACCGCGACATACGGCGATAGCATCTACGTCTAGATTGATTTGCCGTTCGATTGTCCTGCGCACTTTCTTTCGAGGAGAGAAAAGGAGAAGAGCAGTAATTTTCTCGAATTTTATTAGACAAAAGTTGTAAAATGTTATTATATAACGATGACATTTCTCGCGGAGTATTTCGCTGGAATCTCGGTGGATCGTGCAATAAAGCTCGCGATTGTGTTAATTCGATGCGACATCTCGTATGGCGTTGTTGCGTCAGCGATGTATAATGTAACGTTTCTGAAATACGCGCAGATATGAAGCAAAATTATTGCAGTTTAACCGACACCGCAATTGCGAGTAACGTAATATGACTAATCATGGAAAAATGAGTTATGCGTTATCGGTAGTGTGACAGTAAGTTTGTAGTCATCCTGAATGTTTTTCGCTCAGAGACCTATCTTTACGAGCAATTAAAGTTTCAAGAAGCTTGACAATATCGTGCATCGTTGTTACATTATTATCTGTAATGTGTTTACAAGTTTTCTATAAATATTGCAAGAAATATATCGCGTCCTCAATTTGAAAAATTTAAGTATCAACTTTTCATCGCGTTGTGTGGATAAGATATCGAACGTTGATTGTTCCCTAGTTTAATAGAAGCTTTTTGAAGAAATCTCTTTTTATTGCGAGATACGTCCATCTGATTGGAAAAGTGTGATCGTATGTCTACGGAAATTTTTCCACATACTATTATTGGAATATCGGATATGCAGTTGTTGACAATACGTAGGGGTGTCAGGTATCTCTTTTGACCTCGACGCGAAAAGTTTTTATAGATCTGAGGCAGCAACAAATAATTCACATCGAGAGAGATTTTCTCCGGATATAGAGGTTGAATATTATTTAGCAATATTATAAATCGCGTGAAGTTTTATTAACTGTGCTTTTATTTACTGTGCTTTAATAGAGTCTCTCTTATTAAAGAAAATATTAGATTCTTTATAAATTTTATTTTTGATACGACTATCTTCTTACGAATATTTTTGCGAAATTTTTGAATTAATTTTTTGATCATTTGAAATTGATTATTATTTTACTCGTAGAAAAATTAATCCTCGATATTTTTATATTTGTCTCTATTTAATCAGATTATTCTAGAATCTATTAAAAAATTACCAAATATATAATTTTATTTATAGACTATCAATATGTGTAGCTATTTAAATTACAAAGTATTTTTGCAAAGTATATATCTACACGTGACACTGACCTTATATGCATGAATCGAACTTTAAATGCAGTGAAGTCTAACAGACATTAAAGCGTTTTTTTGATCGCGTTTCTTTTATATCCGTCAACGATGAATATATATGACTTTAATAATACAATGTAAAACAAATACAGAGCTGGTAAGAGTTGCAGAAAACAGGACGCAAAAAATTGTTTTCATAAAAATTTAATTTTACACAAAGTTTATTCCAATTTTATGTATATAATGAAACTTTTTTTGGAAACATTTTCTCTGCGTTCTATTTTTTATTTGCGCTGGCTTTTATTAACTTTTTACTGTATTTGTTTTATATTTTGCATTCTTTATTATATTGCTCTCTCCTTCAGCGTGAATCGAAACATAAAGCGCGCCAATGTTGATAATAAAATACCAGATGAAACGTGCAAAAAATAACATTCTTTCGCCGACTCGTTTCCGCATTATTTCCATTCGATCGCTATGCGGATGAAAGATGAACATTGCGGTTTTCTTAAATAAAACACACTACATAGCTCGTAACGGAAATATATTTACAGCATATTCATCGTTAGTGACATATTCAACGTCGCGTCAAATAACACACTCTCGACCGCTAGTTTTCCTTGAGTAGAGTGAGTCTCTGCCCGCGGCCAATATGCTAATTCATCGGGGAGAAGTCGTCGTCAGCGTATAATTATGCACGTTTAGCAAACTAACCATCCGGCCAATTTTCGCGTTACTTTCCCGCTTATCAATCGACTCGAGAAAATGCGAGAAGATCGAGACGCGCGCCAAAAAATGTCGATTGATTCTCTTAAATTTATCAGCACAAAATTCGTAAAAATAAAAAGAATTAAAAAAATTTTTTTTCATATACTTTAAAAAATATTAGATTCAATTTATTTCGTGTCGCGTAAGAAAAGATATTTCATGTGATATGTCTTCCGCTAATCCAATTTCATTTACGAGATAGTTCCTATTTGTCTTTGCATTATCGTCCTCTATATCGAACGGTTACGTCGATCGTACAGTTTGTAACCTGGTCAAGGTGTTACATGCGCCAATTTACTACCGCGAGCTTAATTTTCGAGATAAAGGGACTGTTGAGTCAAACGGCAGTGACGGGAGGATCTAGTGTAATTTGGATAAGTTGGCACTTGTGGTCTGGTTTATTGCCACGCAGCTGATAGCATGGTTGATAAAACGGTCCGTCCATTGTTCCTGACGCAATACCGTTCGATAGTAGTCTACACGCTCGGGCAACACAGTACATTATCTCTTATCGTAATATTTTATTACTTAAAACGAAATGCGATCGAAAAGGGAATTTCATATTCGTTCACGATAGAGAATATATTGTAAATTATGCAAAAAATACAGACCGTTGATCGTGATCGCTATTTTAATTGAATAATATTTAAGTAAGAAATATAATAATCTCGCTTCTCACATATATTCACGCTGGCGCATGTAGAACTGACGTTACACGTCAATTATTATCGCTATTACGACATCAACGGTATGATATTACTTAATATAGTAACCTTGAGTGGTAATCTGTGCTCTAATCAGGGACTTACGTCGTATCAAGAGTTATCTATGTGACGAGATATAATAAAATAATACGTACATCGGCAGTAATATGTGTTTTAACTTGGCTAAATTGTACGAGTGATATTGATAATTGATAGTGTTTGATTAAATTGAAATTTTAGTGAAATTAAATTCCGTTTGCACGATAATGGCGTATTTTGACGTAAGCCGTATAATTTCCGCATGATAATATGGATCGTACGTTACAGAAGATATATATCTCCGCGTCGCCAATCTCACGTTAAATTAGATTATAGCAAATCTCAAATCATAAGTATAAAACTTTTTTGATTTTTTCTTGCGTCACGGACATGTCGATTTTAATCAGCGAAATTTCGCGCCCGTTCGAGTCTCGCATCTCAAGAGATCAAAACGATCGGACAGATCGCACACTTGATCACTGATATCACGATGCTTTCCCCGATATAGCGGCATATCATCGTTGTAACACCTGAGTGACGTACTCGTGACCTTCCGAGCCCGCGTGGTGATCGTCCGGGGCGCATCTTCCAACGCCTCTTCCTCCGCGTCCTCGATGGGTCCCTTTCCTCCGATCGGGTGAAATGGCCCGAAGATATTGAACAAAGAAGACGTGGACGCGGCCTTGCCCTTTCGAGGCGCAACCTCCATCGATCGCGTCGACATCCATCCGTATAAATATGCGTCCCTTTCTCGGCTGGTTACGTGACGTCGTATAGGGGTACGGAATCGCGACCACGTTGTGTCTGTGCGCGATGAAGAGACGTAGGATCCTACGGTCGCACGAATCGTAACGCAACGTAACGCCGTTGTAATATCCTCCCGAAATATCGGGATCGCGAGAATGACATCGAACGGAATGCGGAGCAATGTGTAACACCATGTCCGACTCCAGCGGCGGCTTGATAGAATTCGTCGGGTCGGCCGGCGGCTTGAAGAGATGCGGGGGCGGCATGAGCTCGCCCGCTTTAAGTGCTGGCGGCATCGGCTCGACAGGCGGACTACCCAGGACCATGTCGACTTCCGCGCTGCGAGTTCGACAGCCCAGGAGGGCGGTCTTCTGGGAACAATGCTTCGACAAGAGAGACTTGTAAGTCCTCGACTTGCGAGTTCGACGGTTTCGATTTGTCGAGTGAAAAGGAAGAAATCTGTCGTCGACGTCGCGATTTGATTTTCCATGAAAAATATTTCAACTGTGTGTGTGTGTATATATGTGTAGATATTTCTATAATTTCGCGCTTAGATCTATTTTATAACATGTGACATTTGCAATATGAAATATATTTCTAAATAGTTAGAGCAACTTGTTTTCAAAATTGTGTACACGTTTTTTTTTTTTTTAATTGTGAGTATGTTACGTCATATGTATTGTTATCTACGCAAACAACGAGGATTTTGCAATAATTTTTGGAGAAATTAATGAGTAATGCATAATAATATAATCCACCTCTTTTAGAAGCATTTATATACATTGCATTGCATATAATAAAACGTGCATAAAGATATCAAACGAATGTATTTGAAACATAATCTTGAAATGCAACAGCGAAAATTCGAGAGATTGCGTTCGAAGCGAGATGATACAAAGCTTGAACATGCGAGATGGATCCATCGCGCGATCTCGCTTGCTACAGTTTCTATTTCAGAGTTTGATAAAATTGAAACCGTATCACGATGCAATACGCAAAATAATATATTTTATTGAAACTATTTTTAATGTAAACCATAACGCGAATCGTATGAATTTACATCAGCTGATAAATAAGAATAAAATAGTATATCGCGCAATCATATTAGGAATTAATGTTAGCTATTTAATGCAGACATTTTATCACAATACGTATTATTATTTGCACCTAAAAATAATTATTGTTATTAACATAATTTTTAGGAAAAAAGCTTGTCTTAAGATGTTTATCTTTATCGCTTATATTTTTTCATATCGAGTCTTTCAATTATTGCGCAACGCGGAACATAAAAGCGCTCTGGCAAACGTTCAAGGAAATAACTCGCGGAAACTCGCTCGATTTTATTAGTTAGTCCGCAGTGTATCAATTTAGTATACTTGCGCGCGCGTTATTCGGCAAGTACAAGCTAAATCTGATTAAGGAACATCGCGATGAGGGTAGACGCGCGTTTTGGAGAACGTCCAACGGCCGTTGTATATTGGTATAGTTCGGAATTCCGCGACCATACGTGACGCTTGATCCACGTAGACACGTGAAACACGTCGCTTTTGCTGGCTAGCGTCCCAACCACGGGCTTGGGGATAACGACGGGTCGATCGTTATTCCCGTACGAGTTGATTATCGGACGTTATTTAAGGAGCGTACGCGATCTAAATTCTATTTTGAGACACAGTGTGATATTTGATTTTATAACGGGATCCTTAAGCTAGATTACACAAGACACGACGATTATGTGAACGTGATAATTATGCTGAATCAATGCGTGAATAAATGAGAACATGCATCGGAAGGAGGTCAAGGAAAAGATTTACGTCATTGTGGGAAAACGTATATACGGTGATGTATCAGGATCATAGTTTTATGTGTCGCGCAGATGAGAATTGGCCATTTCGAAAACTTGATATTTGAAACTTGAAATTATAACGGTATATACCATCTCTCATTGTTAGAATGACATTTTCAGACATAACGTTAATTAGAGGACTGATTTTCTGTAGCAGAAAATATTCGTAAACTGGCTTTGTCGACATCGGTTGTAATTAAAAACAGAATGTTTTAATTTTACAGAGGGATTAATTAATGAATTTTCGACAGAATTTATATTTGATCGAGATTCTTTCTAGCTTATGGGTAGTGACCCTGAATTGATATATGGCTCGACTTTAGAGTGTGAACATTTATTTAAACACGGATAAAACAAAAATAAAATTCTGATTAATATTTAGACGGGAAAAAAAAACGCGATATTATGGACAATTCGCTAACCGTGTGTTCGTCAAATATTATTCAGCGAACGTGACATTTTGCATTTTTATTTGGATTTGTTCGTACTCCTGAATATGTTATCTGACCTACTGACCTATGCTAAATACTTGCAATGGATAATTCAAAATTATTTGATTATACCAAAAGATTATGTGAGAGAGATTTAGTTTCTCTGAAATTTCTTAAAAACTTTTAGCGAAATTAGGTTATAAGATCACGGGAATTTTATTAAGATTATGTATGATATAACTTGCGATTTAATTGTTAGTCTAAAAGCATTTAAATGTGAAGTCTCTTAAAAGCAAAACGTGAAAACCTCTCAGGATGTTTGTAACCAAGCGCGAGCATTCTTTGCAAATTTCGTGTCAGAAATTTATACGCGGCGCTACTTGTTATGTGTCTAGAATTATTAAAACGATGAAAGTTTAATGAACTCTACTAACAACGCATTCATTAAGTAATTTCCGCCCGATATTACGTATTTGGTATATGATATACGTGGTATTATTCTAGCTTCCTAAACTAAGAGAAATTTGCATCATTAATTTTTTTTCATTGAAAAGAGATATTTCAAATTTAATAAGATAATACATATTTGCGAGTAGGGTTGCACGAAATATTAAGACTAGTCTTCAGATTGTCTTGTCTTGTTACGAAATTCAGGACAAGATTAAGACAAGATTTTTAATTAGTCATCAAGACAATATTAAGACTAAAATTATCAAGATTATTGGTTTTTTAAAAAAAGCTAAAATATGGATATTTGTGTGTAAATTAGATGAGAAAAAATTACTATATTATACAGATTTATACGGACTTAAAAAATTGTATTTAATAAATAAAAACATTTATATTAACAAATTTAGAGACAATCAATATCATAAACAAAATAAACAATATAAAATTTTATTTAGTACAATTATTTAGCTACACAAAACTTTGCGTACAGCATATGTACGCAAAGTATAAATATAATATACGAATATATATATATATATGTATATTTGTTTCTTTTTAGATACAGTGTTTTCGGAAGTAAACGAATTACATAAATAGTAATAATTATCTTAAATTATTATATATTATAAAGATTATATATTGTTAAATATTATTTTAAACAATTGTTCAGTATTAGATAAAAATTGCTATTTGCTGTTTTGGGCAACTCTATTTGCGAGTATTATGTTCTTGGTGGTATTATGTGTTTACCATTAGCGGAAAATTGTTTTGTAAATTATTTCGCTTTGATGCAAGCGAGTTTATGCGAATTCAAATTTCTGCGGTTTGGGAACATCGGCGTTTAGTACGCGCTGGTATTCTATTGTTATTCAACGAATTGCGTTTCATATTCCGCTTACTTGTCAGTTTGTCAACGCAGTACGACGTTATTTAGCTTCAAATCGACGTAGTTCTCTATGTACGTTTCAATCTCTCTTGCCTGCATTCCAAAATACGTTTTTATACCGTAATCATAATATTTGGATATCGGTTTCTCCCTTTATTGCATTATCGGCGAGTTATTGATCTACCATCAATCATATTATGTAGATGGATCGATCCTCATAGATCCACTGTCGCGTACAAAATAATTTCATTGTTATTGCGTCATATATATCCGTTTCATGCAACGAGAGACCGTTTACGGCAATTATAATTAATCCACATTATTAAATTATCAAACATATGTGTATCGCCATGTATCACCATGTTACGCAAATTTAATATTCCGCGAAATAAAATAGATTATATATTATATTTTACTCGACAATATCGCACACGCGACGTGATTTTGCATCACCACTGATTGTTCACATTGGCGTAACAGATTCTTCTTTTTATCAGAGATATTATTTTTTTCTTTACTTTCTTTGAGTTTACATAATCGTTTCTGCAAATTCATTTTCCGTTCGTAAGTTTATATAATCGAAGCATGAATGGGTGCATGCGATATTCTCTGTTTGAAGTTTGAATGTATTGCGGATGTGCATCTTTTCTTCGCAACAATTGGATCTTGTTGTATTGATCTTGGAAATAACTATCACGGTAACTATTCTGATGTATATAAAAGAAACCATTCAATGATTTAGCGCATGAAAAAAATACTCTTTTTCTCGTTGAAAGGGAAAATGCTTTTCGTTGTACACATTAATGTTCATACTACGTTAAAAGAGCAATCTCGGTTGTATTAAACAGGAAGTCGCCAGTGATTGATACGTCAGAAAAGAAAGGAGCATTTCATTGACATTATGTATTTACTAACATTATAAAGTGACAGGTAATTAATACTTTATATTATTATTAATTAGAAATTTGATTGATCTCTCTTGATAATATAGATAATGAATGGTTAATTAATGATGTTAGATAATAGCATTTCCATTAATGTGTTAAATATATGCAGAGAGAGAGAGAGAGAGAATTATTGCGCAACTAAATATATATTGATAAAGCAACAATAAGAATATTGAAGTATTAAAATGAAAACTAATTAATTATTTATTAATTTATTCATTGATTATTTATATTTAAATGTTCACATTCCGTTACAGAATAACTTGTTGGAAAGAAAATAAGTTATCTAACAAAATGCAAAACTAATATAAGATAAATAATAGCATGATTTAACTTGTATAATTTTTGCATTATCTTAGGAAAAGCAATAATAATATCTTAAATTCGACAAAGATCTTGAGAAATATAAAATTTCGAAGAATGAATGGCTTTTCACGTATCAAATTTTCTTATAAAAATTGATCTCAAAATGATCGAAGAATCGACAGGAAACGCTCAAAGAAAACATACAGCTTCGAATATTTTGTATTTTCTTTTTTCTATTTATCCCAAAATTGGAAATGTAATTTATTTCATCGGAAACGGTCGATAAAAGAAAAGACAATCGAAAAGAGGAAATAGAAATATAGAAAATTCTTGTTACAGAAAAAAGATTAGCATGGTAAACATGCTTTTTATATTAAATTTATAGATTTTTCTACTTCTTCTGAGGAAGAGGAGAAAAAAAAGAGGAACACATAATCGTATTCAGCAATCGTAGTCGAACAGTGGCACTTCAATCAAGCTTCATTGCCTATTGCAGGCGTTTATATGACGGAGAGAGACAAAGACGGGGAAAGAGACA